TTTTTACTCTGTACACAAACTCTTTAAGCAAGCCCATCTGAGTTACTTCACCCTTTTATAAAATATTCTCTCTCTCCAGCCACAACTCTCAACCATGAATGACACTGTAGACAAGCTTGTAATCTTTCTAGCAAAGAGAGATGGCATCGACAAACTCGTCAAGACTTTTCAATACGTATCAAAACTTGTTCATTGGCATGTCAACGAAACACACCCTGATGTAGCCTCTAGGGCCAAGAAATGGGAAGTGGCAGCCGGTCTAAGCCGGAAGGCCTTCCGAAGTGGACGATTTCTTACCGGATTCAATGCAGTAAGGCGGAATCCGGGCCCCACCAAGACTTTCCGGTTGCTCGCCGTGCTTTCAAACGCGGGTGAAATGGTATACTTCTTCTTTGACCACATTCTTTGGCTGTCAAGAATTGGTGTGTTGGATGCAAACTTGGCAAGGAGTATGAGTTTCATATCAGCATTTGGTGAGTCCTTTGGTTACATATTTTTCATCATATCTGATTTTATACTCATTCAAGAGGGGATTAAGACAGAAAGGAAGATAATTAAGTCAATGGAAGAATCCAAGGATTCAAAGGAAAAAATCAAGAAAATTAGGGTTGATAGGGTGATGAGATTAATGGCAATTGCAGCTAATTTAGCAGATTTGATTATTGCATTGGCTGATGTTGAACCTAATCCCTTTTGTAACCATGCTGTTACACTTGGAATTAGTGGNGAGTATTGCATTGGCTGATGGTGAACCTAATCCCTTTTGTAACCATGCTGCTACACTTGGAATTAGTGGTGTGGTCTCTGCATGGGCTGGTTTGGATAGAAATTGGCCATAGTATATGATTTATATTCACTTGTGTACAATTATGAAAATGTTATTATGGAAATCTTTTGTAAGATTTTACATTAAATTTTGATAATTGTTTATACAAAGTCAATTGATTATATTATACAGATATAACATGTTTAGATTGATTGTACTCTATAGTACATTAAAAGAAAAGAAAATTAAAATATCGTATATTATATTGTCCTGTAGTTCATACGACATAGGTACCAAATATGTAATTAACTCTTCTCTGGGTGGACACCCTCTAACTGTGGTAAAGGGAAATTTAATATATGAGTTACAGTCAATTAATTAGCTCATATTTAGTCCTCATTTTTTCCCAATTTTATTATCAACCACACATTTAATGAGA